CGAGCGCACGATCTGAGATTGCGTACGTGTCTCGGCCCCGATCTTCCGCATAGTTTGCGGAATCGTAGCGCCTCGGTGTTCGAGATGGCGTGTCACCGCTCCACGCGCAGCGCGGTTCGAGGGCCGCTGACGCTGGAGGCGGAGGCCGGTACGCACGGGCAGCGAGAATGTCTCCCTGAAGGCGCCGGGCCTCGGAGGCGAGCTCGTTCAGGTCGCGGAAACGGCTGCCTCGAAGATACGCAGCGAAAGTCGGGTGGCTTTGGCGTATGACGCGTTCCACTCGCTCTGCATTGGGAGCTGAGGGTTCTGCGAGCTCGAAGAGCTCTTTCATGGCTCGTACGAACTCCAGCAGGGACTGGTCCGGATGCTGGGTTCGTTGTTCGAGCTCCCGCCGCATCCTTCTCTCGTAGTCGGCGGGAAGGAATTCGCGGCGGAACGCCTCTCGGAACTGATCGAGCGTTCCGGGTCGGTCACCGACAAGTCGGAACCAGCGTGCGGCTTCGTCGACGAGCGCGATTGGCAGAATGCGCTCAAGTATTTCACGATCGGACATTCCCATCGCGCGTTGGTACTTCCGTAAATCGTCAAGGAAGTCCGTAGCGCTCGCTCTGTCTGCGTAACCCCGATAAGTCGGGACGGGAATTCGGACCGGAGGTCGTTGGGCCTGTGGTGCGAGTGTTGTCGTTCGCAACGCACCTGTCAGACTCTCAATCACACGTGCCGCGTTTTCGAGCAAGGTGTGATGAGGCGCCGCAGCGGTTTCTCCGTTGGGAGACCGGTAGGCTTCGCTTTGTGCCGGCAGCGGAGCACGTGCGTTCAGGGAAGATCCGGGAGCGATGGCGCCCGTCCGCAATGGCGTCGGAACCACGCTCGGCTCCAGGGGTGCGCCGTAGGACGCTTCTCGTTGGAGGGTTGGCATTTCGGCTTCCCGTTGAAGTGGGGGCCGCGGTCGCCAGCGTGAGCAAATCCGAGAAGTCGGTCTGCATCGTCACGGTAAGCGCTGGTTGCGCGAGGACTCGTCACTCGGCAGCAGTCGCCACACACAGACGTACCAGGGTTCTGGTCGTCAGCCCTTTTGTTGGGAGCCAAATTGTGGTTCTCCTTAGGGCCACTGCCTTTGGGAGTACCACGTTCGCGGCGAGACGCTCTACCACAAAGCGGGTTCGTACTCGCGTGGCATGCTGCTCGTTGAGCGCAAACAGACACCAGTCACGTTGGTAACGGTGATAAACTGTTTATTTACAATGAAACAAAATAACAACAACACAGCGGCTATAAGCTGGTGAACGCCGTCGGTGTGGAGATCGCCCACGGCCGAACGGTCGTCCACAAAGGTACAAAGTACGGGGTAAACGCTCACCGGTGCGCCGGAAGGGTCCCCGTTGTCGCCGCCGCCGAATCCCAGGAAGAAGAGACCAGCGAGACTGCTGTCCGCTGGTTTTAAGATAACGGCGGGGGCGGAGTGGCCAATCAAGGAGCGACACGTCGATCTCCTTTGTGCGGGGGTCTGTTACGGAAATCGCCCCAAGGGGGGAGAGGAGGAAGCCACTCACAGTGGTAAGCAGCGCCACCTCTCGCTACGCCAGCGCGGCCGCCACGGCGCGCCAAAACGCTGACGCGACAGAATGTTGAGGGATCACAATCCCCACAGGTTTTGTTTGCGGCTCTTAGGCCAGGTCACCCTGGCCACCCCTGAACTAGCCCAACTAGCCATGCTTATCCAAATAATTATCTCATGCGCGTTTACTTTTTATTAAGATATTTATCCTCTGAGCCGTTCAAAATACTCTCAGAAGTACGACATTACTGACAAAACATTAACATGCTGGGAATATTATTTATTGCATGGGCTTTCACTGAGAAAATATAATATATGCGACCTGTATAAAAGGCAGAAACGCACAACTCAGAGGTTGTTATCGGGTGTGATGTTGCGTTCATGTTTGTTGTGCCGTGTATCTGTATGCGAAAAAGACGACGACGACGACACTACGTTTGGTGATTCTATCTGTGTCTCCTGAGATATAACCAAATATTTGCTAAATAGCGAGCCTGCACTCCGTATCCCCCGATTACGCAACAGCAGAGAAGTATCGGACCTTTCTATGAGAAGGGCCTCCTCCAGGGATGCCAAGTTTCCTGCAAAAATTAACACTGAATCAACGAACCAACTGATGCTCGCCGCCCTGCAAGACATAGCAGATTCGGGGACGCCTTTCACAGACGGCTATAAAATTCCGCCCAAAGAACGAACCACGGATGCAATAACTTGCATTTCCTCTACGATCGTGTCTGCCTGCGATGACGACGACATGCTGCCCGACGACGATGATTTCGAGACTGCTCAGGGAAAGAAGAGGCGTAAAACGGACTCACGGTGTCATGCTTCATCTCTCACAGGTGAAGGCAACCTACAAGTTGGGTGCACTGTATTGTACATCTCGACTGAGGATCACAAGGGTGAGTCGCTCAGCAAACTCAAGCTTACTGACTGCCTGAACAACGTTGCTACAGGCATGGTGAGTGTGGTCCGGATTAACAAAGCTCGGAACGTTGTCGCAGTTGATATGAAACGACCTCTCCTTAAAGGAGAGCTTCTCAAGTTGTCTAAGCTCTGCACAGTACCGGTCAGAGCTTTTCTGCCGAGAGATCGCTCAAACTCTTTTGACGTTCTGGGAGAAATTGACCCTGACTGCACAGAAGACGGCATTAAAACTCATCTGCAGTCCTCCGTTGGCGTAGCAGAGGTGAAGCGACTTGGGAAGACCTCACCCGTAGTGCGAGTCGCCTTCACAGGGAAGGTATCTCCTCAACACGTCAAAGTGGGGCTTGTAAGAAGTGAGGTGATTCCTTACCGAGCACGCTCCTTGCAGTGCTACAAATGTAACAAGGTCGGCCATATTGCAGCTGCGTGCAGATCATAGTTTTGATTATGTTATCGATGTGGACTGCGTCACGAAGGCAAGTGTGAAGCCAATCCTTGCTGTGTTAACTGTCAAGGACAACACGCTTCCAACTTAGCCGAGTGCTTAGTCAGGGTAAGAGAGACTGAATTTACAAGGTATCGGCTAGAACACAACGCCACTTTTCGCGAGGCTACATATGCCGTTCACGCAAAACATCACGCAAAAAACAAAACGGCTGAAGGTGGCAAAGCAACGTGCAGAATCACCACCAATACTGTGCCGGCACTATATGCTCAGGACTACCCTTCTCTTAAGAACCTAGAGAACAAAAGTGACGATCCTGGAGCCGCAGTGAGTGCTACAACAGCTGCACTTAAAGAATCACCAAAACTATCTTTTAGGGAAAAACAAATCATCAAAGACGTCACTGCACGAACGCCTTCCGATTCCCGTACCTCTGCACCAAACCAGGCTGGGGGAACAGGTACTATATCTTTATTAAAAACCATAATACCACTGGTATTCACCGCTCTTCTTCAAATATTGAAAACGATCCCAACGGCGTCAACGTCCCTTCACGTGATTGAAGCTATCCTTTCGTTGTTATAGTCCTTTATTGTAAGGATATTCTGAAGTTTTACCACCCTCGCCTCACCCGAAGAAACGAACAGTGGTCGTGTTACGCTTCAATCGCCAGAAAAACTGACTTCAGGGAACCCCCGTCTACAGGGAAATGTACAAAACTTTCGTGAGGGTATTTTTTTAAGGGCGATCGAAGCTCCTTTGGGGCTAGCCATGTCCATATGTCCGTCCGTTGTCAGGTGCACGTGCTCCTGCTTGTGAGCTCACGCGCTCACGTGCTCATGAGCGTGTGAGCACGTGCTCCTGTGGAAGTGTAGGGCAAAAAAAAGCCGCATCTCCACGTGGTGAATGATGTTGATTGGGGCGAAACTCGGGTTGTGCTTGTCTGCGTAGACGGTGAGCCGCAGCATGCCGAGCCTTTCGTTTGTTTTCATCCATGTCAGAAAGAGAATGTGTGGTATGGAACGTGGTTATATACGCATTTGAGCATTCGACTGCAGCGTGACATTGATGAAAACGAACGAATGGTTCGGCATGCTGCGGCTCAGCGTCTGCACAGATTTGCACAAAGATCCCCCATTTGGCCCCCAAAGACAAAAAGTTCGGAGATTCCTTCGCGAGAGATGGCTTCTGTGTGCTTCTGTGCAGTCACGACAGAACCCGAATGCGTGAACCAGCCTCTAAACCAGCGGTCTCAGACTCATTTGAACGTGGGGGCCAGATCTGGATGATCGTCGCAGAACAGCAGTGCGAGACTGGATCTGCGACCCGTATGCAAATCTTGTTTTGCTGCATAAGAGCAGTATTAGAGCTTTTAGTTTTTCATGTTGGGAAGGCATAGGCAAGCAGTTTTATTCTGAAGCCGATTATCCAGGAGCTAGGAAGCGCGATTCTGACACCGCGGTACCACCGCGGTGTGAGTGTCGCGCTGATGATTGCGAATAGCTGCCCCGCTTGCGATTGGCAACAGAGCACAAGACCTGCGCAAGCCACTGTTTCTTCAGGTCTGAGCGTGTCTTTGGTGCCAATATTTATCGAAGAGGTTGTGCACAGCACAAAAAAAAATGTTTTGTCGCAAAAAAGCACAGATGTGTTTAAATGATTACGGAAGGAAGGACGCGCAATATCAGTCACAAAGAAGGACGCCGTTCGCGTTCACGAATAATGCTGACGTTGATCGTGCATGATTCTGTCTCATAGACGAGTGGCAGTGGATTTTAGGTTTGAAAATCGGCCGAGGTGTCAATAATTTGCGAGATGTTTAAGTTTGTAAAGATTTTGATCAAAATAAATCATACAGGCAGAGCTCGAATAATTTTTCAATCGCACAAGTATATTGCGTAGCAGTTTTTTTTTTTCTTCTCAGAATAAGTACGGATTAGTTTTCACCAATTTATGCATTGGCGCTATCATGCCGTTGACGCCTGGCAGTGGCCCTTGAAGCAGTTTTGCCAGGGAGACACTGTTCAGAGATGAGCACGGAGAACGGGTGGTTAGTTCGTCGCGACGTACCTCTGGGCCAGCGGGCCTCGTCGTCGGTGACCATGTCGACGCCATCGTAGAGCTTCTTCCGAAACTCGGCCAGGTGGTTGGCCTGGGGAAAGTAGGCCGAGAAGCCCGTGATCACCACGTCTTCGTCCGCCATTGTGTTCTGCAAAGAGGAAAGACCCACCAGTGAGCAGACCACATGGAGAGCAAGTGGCCCAAACCTCTCGTCCTAAGCGCGTCAGAAGGCAAGGAGGGACACGCCAACCGACACGGAGAGCGCGACGCACGATGACGAAGCAGCCCTGTGCTCGCTTTTATTACTCGAGATCGCGGAAAAGAAAAGCACGTGGCCGCATTTGTATGGTAAACAAACGCAAGAGGTGCGCGAAGGGCTGACGAACTCGCGCATCGTTCCCGGCATGACGGCCGCAGGCCGCTTCACACAGTAGCGTAACAGCTTAATACAGTGGCGCCATCTATCGGCCATCCTCGGAACAATTTCAGCCTGTGTAGATATGGCTTTCTACGTATCATTCGTTTGCCGTGGGCTCGAAATAATTACATAGCGAGCGACTAATTCTCATAGATAGTGCGAAGATATCTCGAAAACAACGAGAAACCCTTCAGTTTGGTTACATGTTATAGTTCGGGATATATGCACGATTCGGGAGGGAAACTCCCCTACCCCTTTCCACTTTGGCAGAAAAAACGCTGAAGAGGGGTCGGGCCTTCTTTGCAGTATTCGCTCTGCTAACGCTTAAAGAGGTGGGAGAAGCTTCCACTTTACCGAGGGTTGACAGAAGTATTCCTCGCCAACAGATGACGTCCGTTTGCTTATGTGCGGTCACGAGAGAACCCGAACGTGTGAACCAGCCTCTAGACCAGTGGTCACAAACTCATTTGAGTGGGGGGGGCCAGATAGCTGATACTGGGAAGGCCGAGGGCCAACATTAGACAGGGGGGGGGGGGGGGATTTGAAAGATTTAAAAGAGAAGAGACCTCATGCTTTATGCATTTTGTGAACTCATGATGTAGAATACCTGAGACTGTGGTAAAAGGTGGGAAACTTGGTCGAAGGAAAAAGACAGGGGAAAAGAACGTTGAGACGTTATTTTCCCCTGTCCTTTTTCTTCGACCAAATTTCCCAGCTTTTACTACAGTCTCGGGTATTCTACATCATGATGAACATCCACCAGCTCGCCTGCGCACTCAGTGTTTTTTCATTGTGAACTCCGTTTTTAAAGTAACATCTTTAGATTAGATTTGTTTATAGCACTCTTTTGGCCCTGACCTGATGGGATAAGAATAATAAAAATAAAGCCGCCCCGCCAAACTGCTCACACTTTTGATAGAACGAAAGAGCAAGTACACTGTCGTTCTTTTTGCTCAATTCACTCAGAAATTAACAAAAATCAACATGTCTCTAAACAACAATCAATTATGTGACAATTCTTGCTTTTGTGACGATTTTATGACAACACCCAAACTTGTCTTTTGATGGTGTTATTTTTTTTAAAGGCGAGAATCCCGAGCTTGTCGCTTTTTCTTCGGCCGGTGCTCCATGCAGCTGATTCAGACTTCGCGCAGGCGAGATACATCCTTCAACAAACAACTGGCGCTTGTAGTTTTGTATCGGAAATATTGTACATTACCTAAAGGTAAAAACTTTGTGAATACTTTGTGAATACGTTAAAAGAGCGGAGCAATTTTTCGAGTGAAAATTAATCGGCGAGATGAGATCACGAAGGCGCATGCCACTTCTGGCGCACGAGACATTGAAACCGGGACGCGACGCCGGTTGCCGGCAAGCCGCGTCCCGGCGAGTCGCGGGCCGCATGCGGCCCGCGGGCCGTTGATGTGGACCCCTGCTTTAGACCGAATGCAAGACCAAGCAGTCAGCACCTGCGATGATCCCGAACATCGAGAGAATACTTCGAGCGCGTGGTGAAGACGAAAAGGGTTTTACCTGCTCGGGTGTTTGCGACATTTCCTACGCGTCTCGAGCAGTTCCCAAAGGGTGGAAAAAATTCACAGGGTCTGTTATGTTAACCCTAAGACGACTTGAAGCCGAAAGCCCAAGCGTCAACGCATTAAAGACAGAGATATGATTTACTTCGTTTCAAGTTCCCTTTCTTCACATAGGCACTTTAATTAGCCAGCTTCATTCGTTGAGTCATCCCTCTTAATCTGCTGAGTCATCCTTCTCAATGTGCTAAGTCATCATCGTAATTTGCATTGTCATCCACTTAATTCGTTTAGTTGTCCTCTTATCTCATTTTAATTACTCCTACTGCACTTTAATTAAACTTAATTCACTTTCATTCCTCTTAATTAACTTTGTCGTCCTTCTTAATTAGCCTCGATTACACTCACTTCTCTTTAATTCCTCTTAATTGACTGTAATTCCTCTTAATTCTCTTTGAATCCTCTTCATTCACCTTGATTCCTCTTAATTCGCTTTATAGTCCTTCTGAATTCCCATTGATTACTCTTACTTCTCTTCAATTACTCTTAATTCAATATAATTCCTTTTACTTTACTTTGATTTCTCTAAATTCGCTTTGTCACCCTCCGTAATTTCATTGCCTCGAACTCGCCTGAGTGGTCACGTAGACGTTTTGGCACCCTTCGTGTCGCCGACGTGTTTTCGTTCCAGGGCTTTGAAGGTCGACTGAACGATGAACATCATATCAGGCTTTCGCCTTAATAGTGGTTGTACCGTACTCCGTTTCACGTCAACTCCGACCGCGAGTGGCGCTCCGATGGTGCCAATCGAGCATGGTAGCGACGCTCGTCGCTCTTGAGCCTTTCCTACCATCTGCTAAGTCAATGAGGCACAGACAAAAGCGCAGGATGGCGGTGCATTCACTTTGAATGGCTGGTCTCGTCGGTGAGAGCAAAGGCACAAGAGCGCCGTGACCATAGGCTTTTGGCTTTTCTGGCTCCGCGGAGGGTCGGCTGCGGTGCGAGTATCTATCAAATCCGATCGTCTCGTCCAAAGGGGCCCTAATCTGTTCACTTGGTGAAGAAGTCGACAAGAAATCCGGCAGCTGCGTGTGATTGGCCGTCGCCGAGGTGAAGTGTGGCGACAGATTTCTCGCCAATGTTTTCGCCAAGTGTTCAAATACGGGCCTCAGTTTCTCGCCTCGTCTGTGTCGAGTCGCACCGCCTTCATTGTGGATACTTACTTACGCACTTGCCCAATCACCTATTCTGATCAATTAAATGTCCAACGTTCAGCAAAAAAACAAAAGGGACGAAATTCTTCTTCTTTATTTACCTTCGTTAATAAATTATCGAGGTTCTGATAAAGATTAGTTCGGCATTTCGCTTTAAATAAAAAATGCCGCATCCGCAATATTTTTTTTAAAAATGTCATCCTTCGTCCCTAAGCCTTCGCGAAATTTCCAAACCGGTGCAGCTACCGGAAGGAATGGGGACAAAAACTGCGCGTAAATAGAAGAGAAAAAGTAGGCCATTGTTTCTGCGAGCAATCAGCTGCAACCACGTTGCTCCCTGCGACACGTCAGAATGCTCGCGAATGCTTATTCGGTTGTTCGCTCCACCAACCAAATTGCCGGGCTGCATAGCGACCCTACATGCACGGCAAAAGACGTTTTGCGCACGTATATGCGCACGGCAACATCAGCCATCATACTCACACACCGGTAGGAGTGTACTATACCGGCTCATGTAGTTAAGGCGGCGGTCCCGCGTAGGGCCCAACCTTAATACCGGTGGCAGCGGTGCTACCGCTCCTGTTTGCGGTGCAAAAGTCGCGTCTTTGCGTCTGCCACGTATTTTCTTCTTTTTTGCCAATAAATAGCTAATTAATCATCAGTGTCTTAGCACAGAATGTAACGTACGTTTATAAAAACAACTTAACGCACAATAACAAGACAAAAAGCGCAAGTTTTTATATTTTCAAAGGCGTGGCTCTACACATTCCAAGTTTTCAGACTTGTGATGCATCCTAGTCGCGCTTTTATTTTTTAATAAATAGATGAAGAACTCGTGTGGCTTCCTACTTATGTTTCTTCCTTAATTAGTGCGCTCAAATATTCTACTTTCTATTCAAATAGTGTCATTTTTATACGACTTTGGAGTGTCGTAACATAAGTTTACAATATAACGAAGCAACACCATCTTAAGCTGCACTAAAGGCGTTTTCAAGATTGTCTGTTATTGGCGGTAACTTATTCTACAGTATCTTAGCAGCCAAAAAATTGAAAAGTCACGCTCGTGCGACGTATTGTACGCTGAGAGCGCAGAGAAATAATCACACACCAGATAATCAAAAATACAAGCACACGCGCTGAACTTACAACTTTTGTATGTTCGACTACTTCGTTCTTCTCTTCAACGTCTGGATTGACTTTTCAGGACGTGATAAGCAGCAGAAACAGCCCAAAATACGAGGAAAAAAAGGCGAAAAATATAATATAAAAAATATTAAACAAATAAAAAACCATTTTTTACAAGTTATTATTTTCCCTCACCGCTCTCATTTAGATAGAAATGGGACCTCTTTGGTCAACAGCGGTATAGAAGGACTATTTACACACTTGTCCTTCAGATGCTTTATTTTTAGCGCTTCCATTATTTCTCTTGTCAGTGGGTCTCAACTCCTACTTATTACGGAACAGTTTTTCAAAATGTGCTACACAACCAAATCCCCACACTGGATTCCCAAATGTGCAGCGACGACTCGGTGGGTGTTATAAAAATTCCCCCTTAAACGATCATTCAAACACCCGCCACTCTCGCCTACATACTGCCTATAACATGAGATTGAGATAGAATACAAGGCTCATTCAGTGCAGTTTACAAAGCTCTTTTAGTGCTTTTTTTCACAACCAACTTCCCGGTGTGTCGACCCATTGACTTCCCTGCACAGGCTGAGAAGCTTATTTGGTCCTGAAAAAGTTTTTTAGCCTTTCGTCCTTTCGAAAAATGGCATATCTGGACTTATACAAAAAACAAATATGGTTATAAAAAGAATTGGGCATATCTGGTCTTATAAAGGATATCAGTTTATATAAGACGTACCCGGCCATATGCGCAATGTTTTATATATCCAGATCTGGGTCTGCCAAATCGGGCCCTCCCCCCTATCTGCTTCCCCTATAAAACTCAGATATGTCCCAATCGAATAAGGCA